GGGGAAGGAGGAACCTACATTTAGACTAACAACCTGTCCCCAAGCCACTAAGTAACGCATATGTGACTCATTGAGTCATGGTAATTAGTTTTAGTCACTACCGTCTGTCCTACGAACTGGATTACCTACATGGGGTGCTTCACTACGTTCTGCATTTTCCCAGGCCGTAATCTATGTGTCTTTTTTAAGACCAGGTGATTCAGTGTTTCGGAAATAAATAACCCCTTCCTCTGACGATCCCAAAATAAAGATGTTTATACATGTACTTGTCATGTTACTTGACAGAACATCTAAATTTAAATTTCCATGACACGAAATTCTGGAACAGGGGGGGATATGGTGACAACTTTAATTTGGGTTGTTTTTTTTTCAATCATGAAGCCTAGTGGAAGCCTGGATCTTAAGCTTAAGAAAAGCAATTTACCGGTGCACACATGTACGTATATGATACATGTACTTATGATGCAATCTCTCAACCATTTTCACTTTATTTTAAGGCACTTTTGAGTTTTGAGGATTTCAATGTAAAACTGCATATTTTCCATACTCCTTCATGATACGGGTTAAATTGTACACATATGCATAATTTTCCTGTTTTCTCCTCAAACACGATATTTCTGATACTAAAAACTCCCACCAGAAAAAAACCTGCATGCCTAGCATGTCAGCTTCAAGAGGAATAAGGAAATATTCTTCCAAATATTCAATTAACAAATTCCAAATGAAATATCCATTCTGACTTTAACATATGAAGACCCTGTGTACATGTCAAGTACATGTAGGTACATGCACCTCATTACACAAACATGTATAAGCACAAATTAGCGAACAGTTAATAGCATACAACAAGATCCATAACAAAATGAAAAATTCCCTCCTGGGTAGGTGAAAAACTACCATTTGTGCAGTAAGTGGTGAGAGGTGCAAGGAAACATGCTCCATGTGGATTTTAAAACCCAATAGCAAAACAAAATCCTGCACACATGCATGTACATGTATGTCATCGTTTGGAAAAGCCTCAGTGTCAAGACAAATGCCGTTGACTGGTACAGTCATTTGCAAATGTTTAGGACCACCCATACAAAATGCATTTACCTGAAGGAAAACCAAACCAAATAATGGCAACTTACATTATGCTTATTTTCAATGTGTAACCTTAGTATCTTGGTTTAACAGCTATTTGACTACATTTCCAGGATTTGAAATGTTAACAGTCTAATATTTAGTACTGCCCTCCTTTATTTCTGATTACTTAGACTGGCTTTTTTTTTACCCATGCTGCCTTGCGGACAAAATATCACACAATACCAGCCTTTGCAAAAAATTTCATTCAAATGGGTATACATGTATGTTACACAGCACTACACTGATGTTATGCACCACTTTGAAAAAAGGTTAAATAATTATTCAATGAGACAATGTAGTGCAGGCCGACTGAAAGAAATATCAATAACATTCCAGGTGGTCTTAAACTTTTTCAAATGACTGTACAGGTGTCTCTGTGCATTCATTTAGTAAAGGCAGCCAGTCAGTGAGAATAGGCAGTGTCCAGACCATTTCAAATGAGACATCCCGTATTTTAGTTTACAATCTCTACACTAAACAGTGAAGTGAACTCTGAATGATGAACTTTCTTATGTCAAGGTTTAACCAAGAAACTTAGATCCTAAAAGGTATTTTTCATAGCACACACAATAGCCACATACTGGCCTCTTCATGGTCATATTTTGCACTACTCCTCTCCTTCCATACACTCACTGCGCTGGATTTATCTCTTAAAACTTTTCTAATTAACACATATACAGTGTACTTAATTCTTCCAAATATGCAGGGCTTTGTCAGCCTATACTTTAATATGCTCTAGCTTTGCATGGCAGCCATCTTGCAGGGCAGTTCTTGTGTTCTAGAGGGAAACCTCCTTTGTGTATATCCTGTGGAACAAAAACATTGGCCTCCAAGATGGCAGCCATGCAAACCCTGTCTTGCTGACTACAGTCATAACCATACCACGTACGTACATTAAGGGTTTGATACAGGTGTATTTCTAAAATCTCTTTTTATGATGGTTTTTAGTAGTTTTAAGGAACAAAAGATATCTGACATACTTTCCCTGCAAATGTTTTATTTATGAAAAAAGGATATGAAACTCGACAATTTCGGACACAACATATACAATAAGTGTACTCTGGACACTAACACCTCAAAGTGATGTCAAGGAGACTATTTTCTCATACTTTTCCTACGTCCACTTTGGCGGATTGGTGGGGACGTACTAATGAAAACTACACAGACACAAACTGCAGTTGAAGCGCTTTCAGCACCCCTGCAAAATGTGTGCACCTCTGGGTACGTCTCCCCTAAATGTTGACCTCCATTGTCCCACCTCTTATGATATGGTATCAAAGAAATGTTTGCCACCATCTCCAAGTTGTCTGTTAGCTGAGACAGGCTCATATTGTACTTCTTGGGCATGCAAAGTGACTTTGATGCCACAAATCAAATGCTATTTGGTAGCAATGGTGGGTGACGGATGAAATTCGGAATTTGGTACCAGTATTGTTGAACATGACTGGCAGGTACTGGTACGCACGTAGGGTAGCCTATAGATGTAGATAAATGTGATCGGCCAATAACATTACGCGACATCTCTGACTTGGTTCCCCTTTTCAAGACAATCTTACAGAGGCGTGAATTAATTAAAGAGTGTGATTGACTTTGCAATCTGACAAACGGATGGCATCCAGATAAACCAACCACACAAATCTGGGTAAATCCAGAAATTAGGGGTCCATGACATTTTCGTGTCCCTATAACATCTGACCTTTGTTATTTGCCATGGAAGTATCACCAAATTGATTTTGAGCTAGTATTATTTGTTTGGCAGGTAATTTGTATTAATTCATCACTCTTGAAAATTAGAAAGTTTTGTTCTGAACTTACAAAATCGTATGTCAGATGTGACAGGGACACCAAAAAACCAAGGACCCCTACTTTCTGGAATTACCCATCTACATGTACATGTACCAAATGTGTCCAAAGTCGTACTGCTATGTGGGCATCAACTGACATTTAGCTTGTTAAGCAAGCTGTTCTAGTGAGTTCAACTGTGGGGCTGAACTGATAAAAAAGTGTCATACATACATATGGTCATACATTTTTTAGGTTATTTTTGCAAAATACAACAGGGACATTGCACCAATACCACAAAAGACATTACATTCTGGCCCTGAACAAAGCAAGTGTACGTAGGTGTATGTGGCTTAGAGGTAAGCGCGCACATTTTGCATTGGCAAAAGATGGCGATGTGAGAGTGAGTCTGTGAGATTGAATGGGTGAAGGCAAAAAGACTGGAAAATACCAGAACAACGTGAGTTAAATCATTCAATAAATCGAGCCAAGAAAGCGGAGAGGCTAAGGATCATCTCTGTGTGCAAAAGAAATTGTGCCCACGATGATTAGTGGGTGCCCCGAAAATTTTCAGTACGCCGACACGAAATTGCATATATGGATGTGTGGCTAGCTAGGCTAAGGATGGAGTGGGAGTGAGAGTCCGTGCCACACTAGTGGGGCTACTCGTACGTATACTGATCAAAGAAATGATTGTGTAATCTGATCCTCTGACTGGATGGTGCACGCGTATGTCACCATGGTTGCCATTTTCATCGGTTACTACCTACCATTTTGGGAGAGTCCCGGATGTCCATGCCGGCGTATGCCATGTAAATAAATTTTAAACAGCTGGCAAGGCCCGCCCTACCTGACGGAGGTTAAAATAATTTCTAAAATTCCATAGGCCTACAGACATACATGTACATATGCACAAGAATCATGCACAATTTGTCCCTTCGTACAATACACGTAGCCAACTATACGTACATCATGACATGACTCAAGATTGTTTTGGTTTTATCACGAAATTGATAAAGCAGATTGATTAGCCAGCGGTGTTTTCTGACAACATATGAATCATGACATGCACGTCTGCTCGTGTCGACAACAACTGAACAAAAAATCTATCAAAGCAGCACTCACCTAAAAACGTTAATTTATAATATCATTTACCAGGGATATCACACTTTTGAAGAAGACTGTTACAAACGACTCCCGAAACCTATGTACTCCACTCAAAATCGATTCCACGGTTAGCCAGCCTGCCAGAACCAGTCCAGTTTGGCCTGCATGTAGCCTATTTACTTCGTGCTCTCTTGTGTACTAGTAGTACAGTATACTGCCTGTGCCCTGCCTGCATTATCTCGCGGGTTCTCGTGAATTCACACCAAAACTACATTTACCTTAGTAAGCAACAGTAAAATTACATCAATAAATTTTTCAAACTGGAATATTTACAGATTATAAGTATTATATAGTTTCTATTAATTATTCTTCTAACATAAAAAATAATTCATAATTTTCGTAAAAGAAGCATCTTTACGATTTTTACTCTTCTATTCGATCAACACTGATGTTTGTATTTATTCGAGGCATGCACAACCAGGGTATAAAAATGACGTTCATCAGACAGCAGACGACTCCGTCATAAGCAAAATCTGAAGCAGACGCATTTTTTTAACGATGTCTTCCAAGCGAAGGAAACAAAATAAGCCAGTTAAATCTGTTTTTATTGAGAAAAATGAAGGTTTGTACGGAAATGTAACTTTCTTGTGTGTTTAAGAGCAAACTGTGTGCAAAAATTGAACGGTTTGAGGAATTCGTTTTGTAAAGTTTCACACGATACATACGGTATGCCGACCATTTTGTCGACTGCAACAGTGCATGATTTTAGCTAGGGCAGGCCCTAGGCCTAGTGGCTATTTTTTCACTCATAATTCGTGACAGTTTTTACACAATTTAGGGAAGTAGATAATCCGATAAGTATTTTCCCCCAGCTTTTGTAAGACTACACCCAGTGTGTTCTCATTTTTTTTGCCCTTTGTGAAGCAAGTTCGTAATTTTCCTTTTGAGTTGGCCTCGTCAATGTCATGCTTGTGTTTTCCGCGAACATGCGAAGCGACTTTGACTCTGTCGGTAAAAAATATTACGCAGGCCTACGAGTAGGCCTATGTTGTTTAGGTCATGAAATGTTTCATGTACTATTTGTACAAACACTAGACTTGGCTTAACTTGAACAAGATAAGTGTTGCATAGTCAAATTGTATGCATTCCCTCTGGTGAAAGATCTTGAGAGTAACTATAGAATACAGGGCCACCCCCTAGAATCACTGGCTACGATGTCGCATTGGATGATAATGACTCCAGGAAGAAGTCCAAATTGAGTACCCTGTTGGTGGCTACGTGGCTATGATGTCGAAACAGTTCTTTTTGAGAATGAAGCAACACAAAATGAATGGAAATGGTCGAAAAAAATCTAAGTCCAAACCGAGTGGCCCTGTATTCTATGGTTGTACCAGATCTTCTTGTTTTATTTTTTGTTTGTGTGGTTTGTTGGTTGGTTAAAGTTGCTTGCTTTTTTTGTCTTATCCCCATTTTTTGGATGTTGTACGCTAAAAGTGCACATTCAAACGTGCAGTTACAAACTGTATTTTGGTGAACTCACAAATGTATACATACCTACATGTATATGTACAAATATGTACATTAAAGTGCATGAACATTTCTTTGGAACTCTGTGGTTTTTTACGGATGTGGCCATGCAATCTTTGGATAAATTGTCAATTCTTTGAAGCATTTAAACTCATCATTCCTGAAACATACAGTGCAGGTCGACTTGAATTGACACAGATATTTAGGAAAGAATTCCATCTTGGACCATCACAATTTTTGAGTGTTTTAAACACCAACAAATTTACCCTACTTGTTGAACTTTTTCCACTTACTGTACTCCTTTCCTCTCGCAAACTCTAATACAATTAACAGACACCCTTTTAACATTTTTGCTGGTGTTTATGACACTCGGAGATGGTGATTGTGCAGTAAACCATAGGGAATTACATTAAATCAAAGGTGAATGCAAAATACCTCTTCAAGGGCACCATGCTCAATCATCATTCAATTGAGTTTCAAAATGAGTGGGAAGAAGTTTCGGTTATTTAAAATTAAATCATCATTCTTTTGTACATTTTTTGTCAAAATCTGAAGTTTCTCTGTTTCACTGTGCTGAAGATCTGCCTTAGATTCAGATTGTTGGATCCAGTGAAACCAGAGCTTCTCCATTTTGCTCTATACTTGTCAAAGTAATGAGGTGCCCTTGCAGCAGAGCAGTATTGTCTTGCTACAGAGATGTCCTTGCTGAAAAAAGTATTGTGTTCCCCAAAATGAAAATAAATAGAATCCATGCATGTACAAGGTATGAAGCTTAAAGAGGCAACATTTTCTTGTAGGGATCCAGGAAATTACAACCAAACCTGATAGATTCATTCAACATTTACCACCTGCCTTAGTGATAGCACCTATTTTCTCTCAATATTTTTCCTTGTGCACCAGGGATTAACTTGCAAGCAAACCAGCCTACCACAAGGAGCAGGAGGAGAGCGATGATCATGGCCAGGCGTAGAAAGAAACCAACCTCCGAGCCCACAGCACCACTGAGGCGGAGCACGAGGAAAAGGAAGAAGAAGCAGTTCTTCTATCCATCAAAGACCAAGAAAGCAGCTACTCCATCCCCACCAAGAACCAAAAAAGTACACATACACTACCATCAAGTATTCAGCTCTTCCGCAAAGTTTAGAAAAAGAGAATATTAGTAGATTATGACTATTTGTTAAAATATCACTTTAATTTCATAAACGATTGCATTCTTTTTTATGGTAACGCTGAATCAGAAGAGTTTTGGCCCCGGGCCAAGTTAGTACTCATTGCACGTGTTGGTGGGCTCACATGTGTCAATGATGTGTAACCAGGCTTCAGCAGAATGTTTAAATGGCTGTAGCAACAGCGAGGTTCTCCGTGTCCTTTAATGTCCGCAGTCACGCTTTACATTCCACATGTAAGAGTCCTATAACTATTCCGAGCGTGATGTTGAGGTTGAGTCTATCACAAGTCCTTTCACAAGTCCGGTTACAAGACCATTCACGAGTAACAAGTGAACTGTGATAAAGGAATACTGTTGTTGGAATTCATATGAATAGCTTGTGCAATGGCATGGCTTTTGATGGACTTGCAGGGACGTGTGATTGGCTTGACATACCACTGCTCTTGAGAGAGTGAACACAAGTTAAATTTTCTGCAGCAGACAAGTTATTTTTGTATTTTGCACTTACTCTTCAGAGGAAGGTCTCGTCGAGTGAATCAGAATCTGATGAGGATGCCGATAGCATTCACTCATCACAGTCAGAGCAACCATCAGAGGCAGGACATTCCAGTGGTTTGGCTCTTCTTGCTGAAGTGACCAATGCTGACCAGGCTCTGGCCAACATCCGAGGTAGTCCAACCTCGTCCAGCAAGAGACAACAGTCTGGGAGGTCCAGGAAGGACCATCCTGGCAGCGAGGCAGCCTTGGGACGTAAGCGAGACCAGCCAGTCAAGTACCGAGGGTTCTCCATGGGCAGGAAGACCTCCCCGCAGAAGCGGCAGAAGACAGTCCTGGACGTGGACGTCCTGCGCAAGTTCTCCATCGCCAAACTCATTGGTCAGTTCTCTGTCTACTCCTCCATGAAGGTGCCCAAGGATGCCTTCAGCACCACTATCCGTCATTCCTACACCTGCACCATGCTGCCAGGTATATGTAACGAGAAGTTCTGTGGCCTGCTTTCCGACACCAAGGACCAGATCAAACGCCATCTGCTGCGACACATCGGAGAGCTTCTGACCATGACCACTCAAAACAGCCAAAGTGAGTGTCATGTCATCAATTTAAATAAATTTAGGCATTTGGTCATGTTGTGATGTCAGTGAATTCTGATTAATTAATTTCCAAGAAAATCAAAGCTTTGCTGTGTAAATCTGAAATCACACCTCAATTAAGTATCATGTTAAACTTGATGACAGTGAGCCAGTTCGGAATTCCAACAGTGCATGCCTAAAATAAAGTGCATCAGAGAACATTTTAGAACAACAAAACATGCACATAGGGTCTGTCTTATCAACATAGCTGTATGCTGACTCAAATGCTTGCTTTGTTCTTGAATGGCTTTGCCTTTGATATACTGAACTTGCTCAGTGTAAATGACATTTCATTGCATCCATTAGGTTTGGCTGCAGATGCTAAGAAAAAAGAGTTGGAACCCACAAGTGATACTTCAGACACGGAGGATGTTGCACAGGGCAGAGCAACAAAAGAAACAGACATGGTGACATATGCCATCCCATCAGGCACTCGTCACGTCACCGTCAATCTGCCAAGATCGCTGGACATCAAGGAGTCCAGCTACACCCTCATCCGCTCGTCGGCTGGGGCCAACGAGGTGGTGCTACTCCCTAAGGGCTGCATGGTCAGCCTGGCCAGTGTGGTGGAAGAGCTCAAACCCCACCAGTTCGGCAAGTCACTCCCCGGGAAGATATCCCAGATGAAAGTGGAGCAGGACTGGATAGAGGAGGAGGTGGTTGGGTCTGACAATAATGAGGACGATGGCCACATCAATGATGAGAACAAAGGTGAGCACACAGACGAGGACAGGCTCGTGGAAAACTTCTTGAAAGGGATGGTCCCGGATGAGGAATGTTCAGTGAGGAAGGTGCTGGAGACCACCACTCAATTCATGGATTGTAATGTTGAGAGTAATGTTATAGCTCCGGAATCCCAAACAGTTGAGTGTGACATCGAGATCCGAACCAAACGGAAGAAATACACCAAGAGATATGACCTGCCCCGGGAAGTGGGCAAATGCCAAAAGACCAGCGAGAGACTCAACACAAAGCAGGTAGCATGTAAGAGCATTGAGGGTGTGGAGCCTCCACATGCAGACCATAACTATGCATTTAACATCTTTGGTACGCATGACGAAGCTGATCAAATAAAGAGCCCTCATACAGATTCGCTTGGCCAGCCCATATCAGAGCCTGAAATGTCAGACAGTGAGATGATGTATATGCTACCAAGGCATCAGGTGAACGCACGGAAGACTAAAAGATTGAGGAAACCCAGAACACAGAGTCCAAAGAATAAACGAAAGGCCAAAAAAGAACCCAAACCACCTACAGAAGAGGATACAAGAAATAAGGTCAGTTCAGATTTCTTGAACCAATTCTGCCATGACTTTCAGCCAAGGCGATACAAAATGAGCTTAAGTCATCTTTAGTCAGTTTTTGTACTACTTAGCAAGCTAAATACAGTGTAGTCTGTCTTGCCTCAAGTCTTCTGCCTCTTAGATATGCTTTCAAAATACAATCCTTTGTTGATTGAGAATATGAATGCATGAGGTGGGCCCCATCACTGTTGCCGTACCCACTGACTTCATTGTTCTCAAATGACCTTTGCCTGTGTGATCTGCAGAACTGGCTCATTTGACACACCTGTATTTTCATCCACATTAATCCCTACATGTATATATGTTCATGCTACATATGTGCGTCAAAAACAAAAGTGTGATATGTGTTATCAAATGGAGTTTAGAGTAAAACAGGAACATTTAAGACCTCCCATCATAGAACTGTTGTCCAAACCAACATTGTTTTGTCCTGGCAGACAAAAGCCTTGGAGATACTGAGCCTCTTGAGTCAGAAATCCAGAGATAGGAAAGGTCCCTTCACCTGCGAAATCTGCGGCAAGAAGGTGACAGCGACTGGAACACTGCGGGCCCACTATCGCAGCCATGCAGGTAGGATATCCCTGTATAAACTCCAGCAACTTTACAAAAATTGCTAGCTCAGTGTTACGTTAAAATGCCATGGAGCATGTTAAAAAATGTCCAAACAAAATAGGGTTCCAATTTTATTTTGGGCCTGCAATATACAATGAAATTAATTGACTAATTAATTATGCATGTCAATGCATAAACTTATTCGAGGATATATCATGCACTCGTGCATGCATTGTTTTTGGCAAGTCGCAGCACCCAACTGGTGTGAATGACATTTAAGGTATGTGTACAATCTACCCTTGAGTGAGAGGCCATCATATCTGATGATTCTGTAAGTAACTTTGAAAACTTGATCAGTGTGGCACTTTGATGCAGCATTTTCCAAATTTTCATGGTAAAAAAGAAAGCTTAATTGTAAGCACCTTTTGTTCGATCTGCCCTTTCTCTACTCAGGAATCAAACCCTTTGAGTGCAGCCAGTGCTCGGCTACCTTCACCCGCCTCCACAGTCTCAAGTATCACCTGATGATCCATAATGAACAGACCCGTTTCATGTGTGATCACTGCGGCCGCGAGTTCCGGCACTCCAGCCACTTTCGGGAACACCTGAGGCGCCACACGGGGGAAGAACCTTACGGCTGCACCGACTGTCCACTGCGCTTCAAGACCAGGAACACCTA